CGCAGGCCAACACGCTCTGCTGTAATGCATGGACCTTTTTAATATTCCTGTGGCCGTGCTTTGGGTCCCGACCCAGTCTCTGGATACCACACTGGTAAAGAATGCTCGAGAATAGAGTCTTTTTGTTTCCCTCCAGACGGAAACACTTAACACATGCTCATGCTGCTGCACCCACATGCAACAGAAAAGGGAGCGTGGCCTGTAAGGCAATACACCAACCAAGTGTTGGTGAGCATAGTTCACACTGTCACACACTTATGAGCACAGCTACAGGATTTCATGCTATATTTACTCGATTTAAAAAAGTCTTGATTTATAAGTTTGAGTTTTTAACAGAAATAATCCACCCTGCAACACTCATTTCTTTAATACAAGCGCCTAAAATGTGACCTGCTGCTACATAAAATCAACATTTATCGTGTTCAGACGGTCTTAGAGATGGTGTCACGTGCACATTTCCATGTCTTTCTTCAGTTTAATCACAGAGCCGGAGCTGAGAGCTCAGGTTTCTTCCCTCATCACCTCAGAGAGAGAGTGAGGCCTGGTGTTAGCCCGGTCCTGCCATGAGCTGACGGGAAGTGTTTATTTTTAATAATAATTCTACAACAGTGAGGCCTTACACTATTTGTATAAATTATAACTAAGTGGTTTGGCCTGGAGGTAATCCGCGATGTGCTACTGGGGAATGATTACAGCCTCAGCAAAAATATACTGTTAGTGATAATTGGTCGACAAGAAAGTGGATCTTCTGTCTGTGAGGACTCTCCGACGTGTTCCACGGCCTTGTTGAGTGAGCCATCAGTCAAATGGCTGTCATAGTTGATGGTGCTGATGCCGTGTAATTTGGCAACAATTTTATTATGTCAGAGTTATCTGGAAATTCATGCGGACCTACTCCCAGGGGACACACCCAAAAAGCATGCAGGCACAAAGGCATCCAATTTCAGTGTGTGCAGGGGTGTGTGTGTGTGTGTGTGTGTGTGGGGTGAAAAGGGCACAGCTACTGTAGCAGGATAGCTGTGTCTGTTGAACTACAGCCAACATAGGATTTCCAACTGTCACGCGGCAGCCTCTCACCGTGCGCTCACTCACACCTCGCAGCAGATCAACTTTATATCCGCTGTAAAGCTGTCGACTCGCCGTAAACAGAGCGAGTGGCAACCACTTTCTCCTGCACCTGCACTGTCTCACAGTCCTGTCACAGTGCAGGCAGAGGAGGAGGGAGCATGGCAGGATGACTGTCTCCAGTCAGTTGGGGAAGTTTTACATTAATTCAATAACAGCTGCACTCTTCTCCAGTGTGAGGTGCAGTGAGTGATAAGACACGCTCAGAGCTGCAGGATATTTCTGTGGCCTGTTGACAGACACAACGGCTGTTTTAAAAGCATTCAAACCTGTAACACTTTCAGCTTTCTAACCACTAGACCACCTTGCCAACATACCTGTTTGAATAAAGTAGCATGACTCATTACATTTCACTACACATGTAGTCCACACCAGTGTTTGGTGTGATCACATTACATTTCAGAATCAGAATCAGAATAACTTTATTGTCCTCAGAGAGAAAATTTGTCTTGAACAACAAGGCGGCTGCGGCTCACAATTTAAAATACAAACGACATTCACAAGACGTAGAGCATACGAGGACAGTTCAGTGCTTAGATGGTATCCAGGAAGTCCATCCGATTTTTTGCACATGACCCAGCAAAGAAAAGTGGTTTGTGTAGGAGTTCGAGTATTGCACATGACCCAGTAGAAATACAGTACAGGCCAAAAGTTTGGACACACCTTCTCATTCATTGCGTTTTCTTTATTTTCATGACTATTTACATTGTAGATTCTCACTGAAGGCATCAAAACTATGAATGAACACATGTGGAGTTATGTACTTAACAAAAAAAGGTGAAATAACTGAAAACATGTTTTATATTCTAGTTTCTTCAAAATAGCCACCCTTTGCTCTGATTACTGCTTTGCACACTCTTGGCATTCTCTCCATGAGCTTCAAGAGGTAGTCACCTGAAATGGTTTTCCAACAGTCTTGAAGGAGTTCCCAGAGGTGTTTAGCACTTGTTGGCCCCTTTGCCTTCACTCTGCGGTCCAGCTCACCCCAAACCATCTCGATTGGGTTCAGGTCCGGTGACTGTGGAGGCCAGGTCATCTGCCGCAGCACTCCATCACTCTCCTTCTTGGTCAAATAGCCCTTACACAGCCTGGAGGTGTGTTTGGGGTCATTGTCCTGTTGAAAAATAAATGATGGTCCAACTAAACGCAAACCGGATGGGATGGCATGTCGCTGCAGGATGCTGTGGTAGCCATGCTGGTTCAGTGTGCCTTCAATTTTGAATAAATCCCCAACAGTGTCACCAGCAAAACACCCCCACACCATCACACCTCCTCCTCCATGCTTCACAGTGGGAACCAGGCATGTGGAATCCATCCGTTCACCTTTTCTGCGTCTCACAAAGACACGGCGGTTGGAACCGAAGATCTCAAATTTGGACTCATCAGACCAAAGCACAGATTTCCACTGGTCTAAATGGTCATTCCTTGTGTTTCTTGGCCCAAACAAATCTCTTCTGCTTGTTGCCTCTCCTTAGCAGTGGTTTCCTAGCAGCTATTTGACCATGAAGGCCTGATTCGCGCAGTCTCCTCTTAACAGTTGTTCTAGAGATGGGTCTGCTGCTAGAACTCTGTGGCATTCATCTGGTCTCTGATCTGAGCTGCTGTTAACTTGCGATTTCTGAGGCTGGTGACTCGGATGAACTTATCCTCAGAAGCAGAGATGACTCTTGGTCTTCCTTTCCTGGGTCGGTCCTCATGTGTGCCAGTTTCGTTGTAGCGCTTGATGGTTTTTGCGACTCCACTTGGGGACACATTTAAAGTTTTTGCAATTTTCCGGACTGACTGACCTTCATTTCTTAAAGTAATGATGGCCACTCGTTTTTCTTTAGTTAGCTGATTGGTTCTTGCCATAATATGAATTTTAACAGTTGTCCAATAGGGCTGTCGGCTGTGTATTAACCCGACTTCTGCACAACACAACTGATGGTCCCAACCCCATTGATAAAGCAAGAAATTCCACTAATTAACCCTGATAAGGCACACCTGTGAAGTGGAAACCATTTCAGGTGACTACCTCTTGAAGCTCATCGAGAGAATGCCAAGAGTGTGCAAAGCAGTAATCAGAGCAAAGGGTGGCTATTTTGAAGAAACTAGAATATAAAACATGTTTTCAGTTATTTCACCTTTTTTTGTTAAGTACATAACTCCACATGTGTTCATTTATAGTTTTGATGCCTTCAGTGAGAATCTACAATGTAAATAGTCATGAAAATAAAGAAAACGCATTGAATGAGAAGGTGTGTCCAAACTTTTGGCCTGTACTGTATATTGCACAAATTCGAGAAAAAGTGACCTGTGCAGGCATCAGTACACAGATAACATGGCAATAACATGACATAAAAAAAAAAAATAAATTAAAAAAATGCTGCAATGTAATGCGTTAAGCTACTGTTCTAAATTCAGTGATCACATTACAATCACTGATCAAATAATTATGTCGTTATTTTCATTATATAAGTTGTCCAATTATCTGAATAATGGGGCAGACAGAAAAAAATAATCAGATGTGCCGACAACATAGAGATCTAGTGTCTATCTAGTGTGCCTGTGGAGAGGCTCTTCAGTCTGGGCAGTCTTGTTTAGATTCCCTGGAAAAACAGGTTGTCTGACAAACAATTTGTTGATTACAATCACATGAGGTATAACTGCTGCTTTAGTGATAAACAAGTTAAATAAGCTGGACTAGTCCTCTATAAAGCCTTGGTTTAGTGAGTGAGCAACTCAAGTGAGTTTGAGTGTGTTCGGTCCAATTACTGTAAAGTCCCACCAGTAAAGCCCAAATTGTACAACTGTTGTGGAACTAATGTTGCCAATTTCAACACCAGCACAAAATAAAACAAAATGAAATGAAACAAAACAAAAAACAAAAGAAAACATAATAAAATAGAAATAACAGCTTCGTACTACCTTGACCTTTGACCACCAATCTCTTATCAGTTCACAGTTGAGTCCTTGTAGACGTTTGTGCCAAATTTGAAGAAATTCCACAAGGCCTTCTTGAGATATTGCGTCCACAAGAATGAGACGGATGCAAGGCAACAGTGACCTTGACCTTTGGCCACTAATCTCTTATCTGTTCACTGTTGATTACATGCAGAGATTTGTACCAAATTTGAGGAAACTCCCTCAAGGCCTTCGTGAGATATAACATCCACGAGAATGAGACGGATACAAGACAACAGTGACCTTGACCTTTGACCAATCTTTTATCAGTTCATTGTTGAGTCCTTGTAGACGTTGGTGCCAAATCTAAAGAAATTCTCTCAAACCTTTCTTGAGATATCGTGTTCACAAGATGAGACGGATGCGAGGTCACAGTGACCTTGACCTTTGACCACCCAAATCTTACCAGTTTGTTGTTGAGTCCAAGTGAATGTTTGCGCTAACTTTAGAGAAATTCCTGTCAAGTGTTCTTGAGGAATCGTATTCACGAGAATGAGATGAATGCAAGGTCCCACTGACCTTGAACTTTGACCACCAAAATATAATCAGTTCATCGTTGAGTCTAAGTGGACGTTTGTGCCAAATCTGAAAAAAATTCTCAAGGCATTCTTGAGATGAATGGATCTCTGTGTGCATGGCTCCGATTATTCGGAAAATTGTCGAATAGTTGCCATGATTTTCGAATAGTGTTTTTGCTTGTGCTGCCCATCCCTAATACATATATACGTACGGACAAACGTACATACGCACATACATATGGAAAGACAGCCTGAGAACATAATGCCTCCAGCTATAGTTATCGCAGGTATGGAGGCATAAAAATAAAGCATCAGATCGGTACTCGGTACTCAAGTTCAGGTATCAGAATCGGAAAGAAAAAAATGGTATGAAAACATCTCTACTTTTTTGTCCTGTAGTTTTGGATAACTTACCCTTCATTGCGGAAGATGGTCCGGAAGCAATCACCCAGGCTCTTGTAGCTGGTGGGGTCACTGGTTCCCCTTTGGATCTGGAACCTGCAATGGCAAAGTTCTCATTAAATGTAAATATTACAGCAGGTAGTAACACTGTTGTTACTTTCATCTTTTAGTTTTTTCATTGTCCTCATTACTTGTATAAATTACATTGTGACACCTGTGTGTAAAATACAGTTAGAATAAATCTGATCTTATTATAAATGAGCTCATTTCCCTCCTTATTTTCCTCTCCTCTCATCCGCTGTTTTTCCCTCCTTGCTAAGATGAGAGGCTCCTGCCACCAGGTCCCTCCAGCGCAGGGGAGAACTCAAACATTTATTTAACCCAACCAATCCAATTAGCCATCCAACTCCCCGGGACCAGGCCTTTTGCAGCGAGCTTTTCAGTTACTAACATGCTAGTAAGCCAATTGTAACAGCTCTTTAGTTACGTGTAAATTTTTAATATGATGGAGCCAGTCGAAGGACTTTTTGTTGTATAGCAAACACGCTGGTACCTCCCTAATAAAGGCTGCTGAGCTGTGTGTAAATCTTTTACATGGGAGACCAGTTGGGGGGGGGGGGGGGATATAAATGGTGCCTGTTACAGATGAAGAGATAAGAAGAGATCTCATTATCAAGTGCCACATGGCTTACACAACCAAACTCCAACAAAACATGGTAAACTAAATGGTCTCATGAGATTATGTGGTGATTTCAGACCCAATAATTAGAGTGATTAACAAAACACAATGAACTAAATCATGGTTTTAAAATCTGATAGATGATAACTTAACACATTTTAATTCATTTCCTGCAAATAGTAAAGAACATGAGGAACTCTGAGGGTAGAAACAGAAGCAGAAGTGAAGAGAGTAGGAGGGAACTGACAAGAGAAAGATTCCCTCCTCATATGGATTCAACTGCCAGGTCACAAGGTCAGCAGTAAGTCGTCCATGCGGGTGCCTGATGGGGCCATAAAGGGCCCCCAGGTTCCAGTGGAGGGGGGAGGTTTAGTGGGGTGAGCGGCCTTTCATATCGCTAACAGATTAACATCTTAGAGGGGTGTCCCTCAAATCCTATTTGGTGGATTCCCAAATAGCTTGTAACCCGTTCCTGAAAACCAGTTAAAACAGCATAATAAATAGATGTCTGACACCATATTAAAGAGAAGAAGAAAAAGAAGGGCTCGAGGTATGAGGGGATGGTGGAATAAGGGGTACAGAAGGGGGGCAAAGACCCGGAAGATTTAAGACTGCTGGGGCTTGTAAACATATTCAAATCTGGCTTAATTAAAGGCATATGATGCTTGGGTCAAGGATGGAACAGACTGTCCACAGTCTCCCCCCTGTCTCCTTTGCTCTGCCTGCCTCGACCCGAACCAGCCCTGAGAGAGTGGGGTTGGCAGGGCCGTGGTCCGGTTCCAGCCCCCTGACTCCACTCGTGACCCTGGGGTCACCTCATTTCCTCATGGCCCTCTCCTACCCTGTCATAAAAGCCAAGGACCAAACAGCAAGGCCAAGGGAGTGGGAGATAATAGGGAGGACCAGAAGAACTTGTGGCAGCAGGGGGACTGACAGGCCTCTGGCCAGGAAGCTGCTAATGTCGTTTTTCACAGCAACCAACAGTGGAAAATAAGACCCAAAGCTTCAGTGAGTCCTGGTTCTGTTTTTGAGAATTTGTCAGACAAGAAGCTCTAGTTTCTGTTAATAAGGCCTCGGTGAGTAAGAAGATGTACTGCTTGGCTGTAGAAGAGCACAAGATAGCCTCGATGGCTCTGGCAGAGTCACTTGGCCTTGGAGTCAGCCATGCGGATTGTAAACTCTGCAGACAGAAGACCCAAAGAAAAACCCTGGGGCTTCTTTAAAAACACATCGCTCCGAGCATCTCCCTTCAATCATCAGTGAAAGCTAGCGGAGATACAGTACACTCAGAGGTGATGATATCTGTGAGCTCATCAAGAGTGCCCCCTCCTTTCCTTACCAACCCGCTCTCACTGTGTTTGTGCTTTACAGGCCCAGAGCTGCCCAGGTAAGGGTGAAGGCGAGGGCAGGTTGGTGCTTCTGTGAACGGGACAAGCACTCTGGGGTAAATAATCCCAAAGACCTCGCCCACCTGACCTCCACTGCTAATAAAAGTACAAATTCTAGGCGTCCACAAAGAAGTCAAAAAGGTAAATGAGGGCGGAGTAGCAGGCCAGAGCCCCATTCTTTGTATTTTATGGACAGGAGCGTGGCACTTGAGGGCCTTACAAAGCTGTGTCCGCTCCCAGACCCCGGTGGTAATGGGCTTGAACCGGGGACCAACAAGACAGGCTGTCACCTCGCAGAGGTCGAGATGTTGAGGTTAGGCTCATTAATGATGGTGTTAAAAAATATGCCTATGGGAAAGGGGTAGGAGGGTTTGATCAAAAGGCAGAGGCTTGATGGGCCTACCTTTAAAGGGGCAGGCCGTGCTTTTTAGGAGATCTCTTAAAAGTATGCCCTATTAAATGAGGGCACTTTTTGATGACTTGCTCGCTTTAAAATTTAGGGTCTAATAACACTGATATTAAATCACATTTATAGCTATTTAGACAGATCTACATATAAATTAACACTCTATATAGAAAAGTAATGACCTATTCAACAACAGGTAGTTATCTTATGCCGTCTATTATACTGTAATATTTCAAACTGTGCCATTTTCTCCCAGTATGCACATTACAATTTATGTGTTTTGCTGTGTATTTGGACTGGTTGCTACAGTGAGAGCCTTGATCTACTCATGCCTTCCCTTTAGGAATGCCAAGTGCTCTGACGAAAAAAAGAAAGAGGGAGAGAGACAAAATATATGATTGAAGAAAAAGAAGAAGTGAATCACCAAGGGGAAAGGATGAAAGTTCAGCTATTTCTCATGTTAGATCTGAAGTACATAAGACAATCCAGAAGGCAACATAAAAAGAGGAAATCTATTTTTTACAGCCAGACAATTAATTTTAATGAGCGGGACCATAAAGATGGTAGAAGTCCATTGCATTGGTACATGAGGTTAAGAGCACTTTTCCGACCTAAATGGTCCAACATGGCAAATGCGGCCAATCGTGACTATAGCTGTCCAATCTCTGCCTCAGAGTAAGAGAGTGTAACCAGAAATAAAAAGGATTTCCTTTGGATCCAATAGCTGCTTGTTTGACATCGTGGTTGTCAGAGCTGACTGACTGTCAGAGAGTAAAACGTGTGTTGGACGAATAAAAAGAGTATAAAACAAGGAGTATGACACTCAAAATGCTTTCACTTATTTGTTCAAAGGGATACACCCAGTTTTTTAAATGATATCCAGCTCTGGCTCCTACGTGGTTTGCACGTACTCTAAGATGCTTTGGACAGAGTGCCTGCCAAAAAAAATGTAATCTAATAATGTTGATTTCAACTGAGCTCCGTCCTGCACAATAACATGTTATAAAACAAATTACTGATAGACTGAATCGATGACAAAACTGTTAAAGTAAAAAGTGTTTGAGCGTGGCAGGAGGAGGCCCATAAAGACAGACCTTTGGAGAGAGGAATAGGAAAATAAAGTCTAGGGGAAGAAGATGCAACATGGGAGCAGAGGGGAAGTGATAAACCTTTGGCGCTTGTGACACGGCAGGCTGCCAGAGCTTGATCTGGATCAGGCCAGGTTGGGTTTCACCAGCACCGCAAACCTACTGGACCCTGGAAGAGCCCGGGTTATGGAGCAGGCTGTGGTGCGGTGTGGATAAGGGAAGAAAAAGTTCTTTAGGCTGTAAAATGTGCTACGACATCCCTCTGTCACTCTGGATTCTTTCTCACTCTGATAAAACTGACTCCTCTGATTCCCTATGGTGATGTTGGGACCAGTTTGCTGGTCCAGATGTCTGCTCATATACTGTGACCTCTGTGACCTGAGATCAGGCTGTGTTAGTGTGGAGGGGCAGGAAAAGAGCTGCATAAAACAGCACGAGGACAGGCTGAGACTCAGATGTTTTGAGCATTACAAACTTCTGCTTGACTGACAGATCACTCTATATGTTAGAGAGGACTGTGGCAAATTTAGAAAGCTACTAATGAAGTGGAGCAGATAGGTGGAAAAAATAAGCAGTCTTACGGACATTTCCAGTAAGTGGTTGCATAACAGAAAGGATTCCTTGGGTGTTTAAACTGGGGTCTCTTAACCTCTGCCAAATGCTGTTAACTGAAATTACGGCGCTAATGTTTGAGCAATCGTTTTAATTATAACATGTATATATAACATACAACAGCCAAAGTAACATAAAACTTGTTTATCCACAGATCTGCAAGTATTCCTCATACAACTTTTATTTAACAGGAACCAAACTAGATTGATTCACAATTTTAATTAGGGCTGTTAGGGCTCACAGTGGAGGTAACATTACTTAACAACAACGAGAATGAAAGAGAAACTTCTCTTCATTCTTGTGGTGTCGAAGAAATCTGAGAAAATTAGTTCCTGACAGTGAAAATTCATGTGAATGCCCCCTCAAATCAGAACAACAAATCGGAAAGTCTGCGAAAATTTTGGTAGTCAAGTTGCCGAGTTGATGTCATGTATACAGAAAAATGGCAAAAAACAAAACAAAACTGCAACTGTAACTGGTAGTCACTGTCCACGTAGATCGACCTAGATGAGTTAGAAAACTTATAGTACAGAAATATTTTAGTAGTTTTAGGGGATGTACTGGTGCAGCAACAAGTACGGGACAAAATAACTTTGTGATGGAAATAGGGCTGCCACTAACGATTATTTTCATTGTCGACTAATCTGTCGATTATTTCTTCGATTAGTCAACTAATCATTTCATTGAAAAATGTGTTAAAATGTTGAAAAATGTTGGTCTGTCTCGCCCAAACCCCGAAATCTAATGTCTTCTTTCATACTCACGCCAAAGGGTTTTAGTTCAATGTCACGGGAGAGTGTGTAATGCTGCCAATATCTGAATATAAGAAGCTGCAGTAAGAGTATTTTGGGGTCCTTTTATAGTACTTTTCTATGAAAAATGACTCAAACCGATTAGTCGACTACTAAAATAGTCACCGATTA